GGAAAAAATCTCATCAACATTTATGGGGTTTTAAAGCAGTTGAGCAATTCCACAATTCCCATATGTTTTTCTGGAAACACACTTACTGCAAGTGTCAGTGACAACTGGGAACTTTAGAAACTATTTCCGCTCTTCAGAAATACTGAAAGACGTTTGTCCTACATCTGTTAAAATACAGATCTTTAAAAACTTACCATAAATATTTACAGATTCCTACTGTGTCATTAGCATATTTATCTGAGCTGCACATTAAACAATAGGGTATTTAAAATGTTAAATTTGCTGCTGAGAAAGGAAATACCGATGAACTGGGAAGCTGCTGTATAACCGAACATAAGATTGTCTTAATAAATCTAACAGGATATAGATATCCAAGCCCATGCAAAACACTCCATTCAATATTAATTCTCAAAAGAAATTACCTCATGAGGAGATTTCTCCTCATTGAAACAACATTAGCAAAGACCATAAAGAATCTCTGCATATCGCACAAAGTCATTCTTAAAATGAATCACCTCCTGTAGTATGTGACTCACATACCAAGACAGACAGATTTTCATAGGCCCAATGATGGTCAAGCCCTTGCTGACGCTGGTGTACAGTTCTTCCAAATCTGGAGCTACTAAAACTTTCTCATTTAGCTACACAATAATTGCTGCAGTATTTGTGCTGGTATGCTGGATTGGAATAACAGAGTCAGCTCTAAAACAGTATCGTTTAAATATTAACCACAGTATTTTTTGAATTAATTACATATTCCTATTTTGGCAAAAACAGATTTTCACAGCTCACATTAGTGACTTTAAAAGCAGAAAGGTATCAAATTAAGCGTTCTACTAATCAGCTTCCAGTAAGCATAAGTCATACTGTAAAAAACATCTGTAATAATTACTTGCACGTACAAAAGAGATGTTACCAATGTAGAGGTTTTGTTAAAAAGATTCAATAAATCATTTTATAAATGCATATTTTGTACATAAACTTTTCTTGTGTTCTCATTCACAGTATAACAGAAGTGTTATGCAATATCAGAAAGTGAAATCAAAGAGAAACAGTGCAGCTGCCTAGCACTGCTCTCCCTTTCAGAAAGGAAGCAAAGGCATAGTGAAAGCAAGAGGCCTGGTTTCCTTTATTCTTTCAACTTTCATTACTTGCCAATGGTTTCATTAGACAGACAAAGATATTTTACAAGAAAAATCAGAGTCACGCAGCTCGTTTCTCAGCTCCTTCTGGTCAGCACGAAAGCTGTGTGTCTGTTCCTCCAACTCACATTTGCCATCTAGCTGAAACACAGGGACTGAGATGCCGAGTAAGCAACCACTCCTTAGTATTAGGTACTGAAGCTGCAGCACTGATAGAAGGATGTTGTAGTAAGCATTTGTCTGTGTAAGTCACTACATTATATTCTGATCCTGGTAAATTAACATAATTCCCCATTTCCACTGTGAAATTCTTTAATATTAGTGTAATTTCAATTAAATAGAGTACTTTTGGAGAGCTAGCTGAATTCCTGCATTCATGTAAGATCGTAATAGAAAACAGTTACAAAAGATCCATCCACTGATTTGTCCCATTGAGCATAACTGTCCTTTTCAACAGCTTTCTCTTGATATTAAGTAAAAAAAAAAAACAAAAACAATTCTAATTGAAAAATAAAGGCTACTTCAAAAACCCCCTGTGTTAAGCAGCCAGCATCAGAGCACATGAACTATTTCTTTCCAACCTAGAATAATTTCTACTAGGTAGTCTGTTTTATTAAACACAGTTAAATTTTTAAACTACATTAAAAAAAAAAATTACAGGAACAATATCATTTTCACATCTCAAAAGAATTTCTTTGCTACTGGAGTAAAAAATTAAATGTACAAATTAATAGCTACATAAAAGTTAACAACCTTTACAGCAACCTGGAAAGCTGCTAATTAAGATAGAATTGTATTATTCTGTCTCTTCCAATAGTGCATAATTAGTATTTGGAACTCCTTGGCATACAGCTCTGCAGATGCTAAAATTTTACACAACAGCAGAAAGCAATTAGACAGATTTGTTGAAGAAAAATCTTTCAAGCACTTCTAAACACAGAGGAGTCCCAGGGCTAAAGCTTGCTGGAGGCTGGGAGAAGTAACATGGCGGAAGTAGTGCTACACGCTTGTACCATTTGTACGACTCTTTCCCAGCCAACCACTGCTGGAAGTTGTCAGGATACTAGGCTAAACAGATCTTTTATTTAAGCTAGCATAGACGTAAAGGCATCCAAATACAAGTAAATATTCAATGGAGGTTTATATGTTAAAGATATTTTCTTACCACAGAACTCAAGAAGTATGTAGGAGTCAAGCACCTTAAATCATATAGGAGATCTGTAAATACTAATATGCTATCTAAATAACATAGAGATCTGATCCTAAGCATGCCCAAGTTAAGAGACCACTGCAGAATTTCCCCAAGGTTTGAACACCACGCATTAAAAGATTTTAATTTTTTTTTTTTTTAAAGATATATGTTTCCTGTTTGAGAAGTTAGGAAAAAATAACTGACTATAAATCTAGCCTGATGAGAAAGTGGGGAGAACAAAAGCCCACATTTCAGCATCATCTAGGATACAGAATGAGACAACTGCACCAGAAAAGCTCAGTGATTTAAAGTAAAAACAATACCATGTCTTATTACCAATACCATTCAAATTCACAAAACAAGTGAGAAATCAATCCTTCCTACGTATCCCTCCCCGAGTTCTTCCTAACACAGTCTATCTGGATCCATTATAGGAATATGATATGTTGACAAAGCAACCCACTTCCCCCAAAATAATTCAGGAAGAAAAATCTTTAAAGACATAAAGTATTTCTCAAACCAAATGCAAAACCAAGTAAGATCTAAACCTTCTGCAGATACATAAAACAAAAGCCTCCTTCAGCATTACTGTACTGAAATGAGCTTCTGATTATTCAGTTGATTCTTTTGAAGAATCAAACTTTCACTTCACAGACTGTGAAGCGGAGATATGATAGCAACCTGGAAAAAAAGACCCATCACCACACCTTGAAAAATACTCAGCTTTGCTTCTTCAGTTCTGTTGGGGGGTTTGGGGATTTTTTTTGATTGGTTGGTTTGGGGGGAGGGGGAGTGTTGTTTTTTTGGGTTTTGTTTTTTTTTTAATACAAAAAATGGATTACAGGAACAATGAAGATTTAAAAACTAAACAATATATTGATATTCCTAAAAGTTACATAATACATTCACTGAGGAACCATGGTATCACTTGCTTTTTACTTTCTCTTTTCTTTCTCCTAACTTTAAACAATATATTTTTCAGCCACATTTTGAGTAGCTACATTCCTAAAAATAATTTTTCCCATTCCAATTTGTCCAGCTAGTTGAATGTAGCCATACATTTCTTGTTCCCATCCTCAATCCAAACTATTTTTGCAGAAGAGCATTATTTAATACAGAAAAAAAAAAAAAAAAAGTATTTTTGTACCTCAGCATACAGATGGAGACAAAAGCTTCCCAACCCAAAATGGATCCTGGCACTTTTGCCATCTAAGTCGTACAAAGACACAATAAAATTACAAGCTGATCTTATTTTAGTGAGGCATTAATGGCTGCAAGCCTTTTTCCTTAAAACAGCTTAAAAATAAAGCCTCAGATGAACTGACATCATAAGTATACTCTGCTAATGCTCTTTTCCAAGACTAATCAATCTATGTAACACTTAATATGAAAACAGACTGAAGCATACCTTTTGCATACAATACCCCTGTTTAATGTGGGTAGAATCATACCATAAAATTACAGAATGGTTTGGGTTGGAAGGGACCTTAAAGACCATCCAGTTCCAACCCCCCTGCCACGGGCAGGGCCACCTTCCCCCAGACCAGGTCACTCAAAGCCCCGTCCAGCCTGGCCTGGAACCCTTCCAGGGAGGGGGCAGCCACAGCTGCTCTGGGCACCCTGGGCCAGGGCCTCACCACCCTCACAGGAAAGAATTTCTTCCTTATCTCTAATCTGAATCTGTTCTCTTTCAGTTTAAAACCGTTACCCCTTGTTCTATCCCTGCACTCCCTGACAAAGAGTCCCTCCCCACCTTTCCTGTAGCCCCCTTTAAGCACTGGAAGGCCGCTCTAAGGTCTCTCCGGAGCCCTCTCTTCTCCAGGCTGAACAAAAAAGTCATTGAATACCTTGGTCTTTTCTACGTTCTGGATAATCAGGTCTCCCATTTCCTTCTGGACAAGGTCCACATTTTCCATAGTTTCCTTTATCACCAACATACCTACAAAAGCTTTTTTTGCTGCCCTTGATGTGCCTGGCGAGATTTCATTCTGTCAGGGCTCTGGCCTTCCTAACCTGATCCCTGGCTGCTCAGACAGTTTCTCTGAATTCCTCCCAGGCTTCCTGTCCTTCCTTCCACCCTCTGTAGGCTTCCTTGTTGTGTTGTGCAGGAGCTTGTGCAGGAGCTCCTTGTCCAACCCCGCAGGCCTCCTGGCATTCTTGCCTGACTTCCTCTTTGTTGGGATGCATCACTCCTGAGCTAGGAGGCAGTGACCCTTGAATATTAACCAGCTTTCTTGGGCCCCTCTCCCAGCCAGGGTTTTGTCCTAGGCTACTCTGCTAAGCAGATCCCTAATAGCGTTAATAGTATTAAGCCAAATATTTAGAAAGAGCAGAGAGATTTTTAATGGTCAAACTTGCTAATCTACCATAGTAAGGCTCTCCTTGCTCCTCCCAACGCAATTTTTAAATATTTCAGTTGCTTTTTCCACACTGTAACATCCTAATCCATGTCCTAACAAAGACGTTGCTTATTGTGGTTGGTTGAGATAAGAGCATTATTTTAATTCCTATTAAAAGAAACTCTGTTGTGTTGGGAAAAATGAAAAACCCAAATCCTGCTGTAGCTTATGCTTACAATCAACTATACAATGTTGCAAAGCATCTGACTGCAAGGACAACGGTTTCTTTTTTAATTTCTAAACTGATAAAGAATTGTCACGATTTACCTGCGATTTCATCTCATAGAGCGTAGCATCCTCTGGAGTTAACTGAAGTGCTTCATCCCACTTGTGAATGGCCTCTCGATACCTGTAGTTAAAACAATATTACAGTGTCATTACATTTAAAGACAGTACATATTTCTCTTTATATCCTGACGTCCTAAATACAGTGCCACAGCATCTCATTAGTATTAATGATTTTTGGAAACACTTCCCTGTAAGACATGCTGAACTCTTTTGCAGGAACTGACTATTTGTTTTTCTGATAAAATGGGTGTTAAGTACTACTGTACAACTGGCCTCAAATAAATTTACAACTCAGCATTACAAAACCTGTATCAAAGCAATAAATTAAAACTAAAAATCTTGAACTGAGTCCAATTTCCCTCATTGTCAAAATCATCCTTAGTCAGGCATAAAGAAATATAATCTGAACCCCGTATTTCTTGTTACAGTCATAATTTAAAACTTCTTTTCCATCTAAAAAGGCTGAAACACAGAAATTGCCCTCCTGCATTTCGGTAGTGTAAGATACTAAAAACATCTGAGTAACTTTGGTATATTTATATAAGAAGGAAGTTGAAAGTAAGCAGCTATACTGAAATCACTCAACTTTGAGAGGGTATACAGTAGCTCCATAATATGTTGCCCTCCTCTTGAAAACAGAACAAAACAGAAGAGTTGATCAAAGCCAGTAATAAGTAGGTCTTCGTCTTGAATAACGTGGTAAAACTTGGACAAATGAAAACTAGGGTTTTGAACTGTACTGAAGAACTGTAACAGCACAAGATGACTCAGTTACACAGGTGCAGTCTTTCAGCCCTAAAAGTGGCCTCAGATTAACATTACCTAGTCTGCGGTGGGTCACAAGTTCTCTGAATCTCTTTCAAAATCCACCTTCATTATGGAACTGTGTAGGAACTCCTATATTTATATTAATTTCACTGTAAACACATGAAATCTTGATAGATACACACACATTGACACTTTAATATAATACAGATAAAATTAAAGTAATTTTCACACATACTTCATAGGTAAACAGTTTTTATTCTCCCCTAAGCCCCATTTTTCCTTCCCCTTCTCTTCCCCTGGCATGTATTACACCTCCAGGTTTTTCAGAGCAGTCACGTAAGACTTCAGAAAGTTCTGAACCAACTGGGAATAGAAGAATAGATTGGAAAAGCAATGCAGCTGCAGTCAAACTCTCATTATGAATCAGGTATCATTAGCCTGTAAATGACACTGATAGGTATGATGTTAATTTGAGTGCTAAGCAAAGGATGTTTCAATAAATTTCCGTATTTCCTGAAAATTCAGCCACCATCTGTGCATTTGTCATCTCAGTTCATTTCCCATGGGCAGGTGTTCACACCAAAGGGAACCTCATCATATTTTCTACTTATGTCAGTAGAAGCCTTAAGCTGTCATTTAGTTAGCAAGAACTACTTTTTGAATAGAAGATTACAGTTTTGTTCAAGAACTAGCACAGACACAGCACAATAAAACCTACATTAGTAAGGGGAGTCCTCAGCTCAGTTAGGTGGTGTCCTGGCCATGTATCAGTGCACAATACTGTGAGTGTAGCAAAAAAATCTAGAAACAGATGATTTGGAAAACAGAGCAAATACAGTAACGAAATCAGTAACCAGAAAGGAAGGGACAACAATGGCATTCTGCAAATAGAAAGATATAATATAAAAACTGCATTTCAGGAAACTTCCATTTTTACTTCTATAGAGAGAACACCACTGCTCAAAGTGTCAACCTCAATGAGCTAAAAACTCATAGCAAGAACATGCTACCTCTGAAAGGAGCACCAAATATAAGCAAATATTCCCTCAAATCCTGTTTGGTTTTGCTGTCAACAGTCTGCCAGCAGAATAAAGGTGGGCAAGGGAAAAGAGTTCGTCCATTCACAGAAATGTGCTACTTGTTTTCTGTGACTGGCCTCATGAAAGGCCTGTGAGCCTCAGAAAGCGTGATCCAAGAGAACTGGTGACAGAGTGTTGGAATCACTTCCCAGGACTCAGAAGACAATGTAAGAGGGCTGCAGGAACATGCTGAACCACCTCCTCAAAGAGACTGACTGCTGATTACCAGTTTACATTGTGGAGATATCCACGTGGCTGTGAAATATTGATCCTTTCAGTGCACATATCTCCTTAAAAAGTCTAATAAAACATGACTGTTCTGTTCTTTTAAATACTCAGGAAAAAATATGCTTCCATCATTGTTCCAGGAAAAACTAAGGACACCATTCTTGTTAAAAGGAATTGAGCCACGTTGCTTACTCTAGTAATGCAAATTTAGGAAAAAATTCCTTTCTATAAAGATAGTCAATTAATCAAAGAATTTTCTACCTCACTCTTTTGAACAAAAGATTATAAACAGAATTAAATATCAAACACCTTACTGAAAAAGTTGCTTGGGGATATAAGATACAGTTGTAAAGCCAATGTTCCAGTAAATGTTTTATAAAAAACATAAACCTTGGCTGAAATAAGAAGTGAGCTAACACAGAGGTAGTGCCATAAAATAAATAATTAAAACACAATCATTCTACTGTCTCTCAGTATCTTTTTTCAGCTGAACTATAAGGGACCTTTACCATTATAAGGAGGGAGAACTAGTTTAGAAAAGGAAAACTTCAATATAAGTATGGTATCTGCTTTGAGTTTAATTAACACAAATTTAATGCGTATTTAATTTGCTATTCCCATTTCTTTTCTTAGCAGGTAAATAAGCTCACATACAGTCAAGTGACTAACAGCTAACAAGCTTGTATGCATCAGCTGAGCTGCAAGAACTGCTATGTCATGGCTGACAAAAGAGAAGTAATGAATTTTAGCTTAATGCTGTTCCACTGCAGTCTACCTGAACTCCTTCCCATATGCCTGACATGGAAAGAAAGCACACATGTTCAGAACACATGCTATGGCACAGCTGATGCACAGTAACATGCATTCGAATCTTATGTCACTTCAGAAAAAGGGATATGAAACACAGCACTTAAAAAATTAAAACAACTTGTATCAAAAATAACATCTCAGAAACAAGAATGAGACTCAAAAATCACAGATCCACCCACTGGTGATGCTATGAACCTTCAGTAACCTCTCATATTTATCAAAGTGGAGATTAATCCCAAGCACCAGTTGGCTGGGACCTACTGACTGGAAAGCAGCTTTGCAGATAAAATACCTGGGGGTCCTGGGGGAAAAGAAGTTGAGTATGAGCCAAAAGTCGATCAGCATGCTGGGCTGCCTTAGCATCACCAACAGACAGAGAGGTGATCCACATCAGCTCTGGTGAGACCACATGTGAAGTGCCAGGTCCAGTTCTGGGCTACCCAGTATGAGACACATGGACATACTGAAGTGAGTCCAGAAATGGGCCAGGAAGATGATTAAGTCCCTGAAGCATCTGTCATATAAGGATAGGCTGATGGGACTATGCAGCCTGGAGAAGGGAAGGCTCAAGGCAGATCTTATCAAAGTGTAAAAATACCGAATTTGGAAGGGGGGCAGGGAGTAAAGAAGATGGAACCAGACTCTTCTTAGTCATGTCCAACAACAACACAAGAAGCAACAGGCACACACTGAAGCACAGGAAATTCTCTTTAACCCTACCTCTATTGCTGGAGATATCCAAAACCCAGCTGGACAACATCCTGAGCTACTTGCTGTAGTTGACCTTTCTTTGAGCAGGAGTTGGAGTAGAAGATCTCCTAGGGTTCTTCAGGATTATATAATACTAAAATACCAACACCTCAGTGACACATGACTTAAGATGAAGTATGACTATCTGTTCACTAAATGAAAACAAATTTTAAGCAAAATATAACCTTACCACAAATAAACCCATGAATTTTTAGATGTCTGGAATTACTATAACAATTTACCTAATGTCACAGTAAAGAAGTTACAGGATATTTTTACAGGGTATCAAATTAGTATTTTCAGCAATAGTAAATTCCTAATCTGTACATACATTGCAACTAAGCATCTAAATTCCAGTGATATAAAGCATTTTTAAGAAAAGACTATCATATCTTGAAGTACTGAATTACTATTTATGTGAGTACAGAGATACAATATACTTAATTTTATCTACCCACAGTGATTCCAGTAAAACAGTATACCTCGCTACACAAAAAATATACAATTATAACCAGAACTTAATTGTAATTTTCTTTTCTTTATTGCAGTGCTATAAAAATGAATAAATTATTGAGAACTGGATGCATCTGGGATGGCTTTAGTGTAGAAGATATATGGATCTTGCCAATTTTTGTTTAACAGCATATGAAATCTCATAGCTCCCCTAAAGTACTATAAGTGCTATCTTCAGATGTGCTACTGACCATCTGGCAGCTACACAGACTTGGCACGTTTTACTACAGCTTGCTAAGCTTTTGAAACAAACATCTCAGGCTTACACTTCACCTTTTCAACATCACTTCTGGGAAAACAGGATCTCTTGAACTCTTAAAACAAAATCATTAAAACAAATCCATATTTCCATAAAAAATATTTCATTGAAGGCTTCTGGGTTTTTTAAAACAAAACAAAACAAAACAAAACAAAAGCCCTTTTCAAGTTACAAAGAGATCAGGCTTTGAGTATACATATATATATGTGTGTGTATACATACATATACACATATACATGTATACAGATAAATATATAATGTTAAAAAACATCACTGCAGCTTAATTCCAATAAGCTTGCTACAGTTGATGCTTCAGGGACAGATAGAGATGGGGCATGCTCAGAGTAACGCTGAAAATATATGAAGATATACTGAAAAGATGAGATGATATCAAATTCAGACAAAATGAGATAGTCCTTTAGGAGAGAGGCAGATCAGATGGGGCAACATAAATCCTGGGAATTCTTAGAGACTTGGAGGGACACTCTTACAATCATATGTTACAGGAGGATGAGGAAAAACATGGTTAGACAGGGCTAAGGGAAGCAAGAGGAAAAAAACATTTTTAAAAGATTGTCAAACACTCATATCATATCGTAGAGGATGAACATGAATGGTCTGGCCACCACAAACACCAGCTAGAACAATTTTAGT